TTGGGTAACCCCTCAGTTTTGGGTAACCCCTCGGTCACGGTGACCCCTCAGGTCAGGGTGACCCCTCGGGTCAGGGTGACCCTCAGCTCAGGGTGACCCTCAGCTCAGGGTGACCCCTCGGTCAGGGTGACCCCTCAGGTTTGGGTGACCCCTCAGCTCAGGGTGACCCCTCAGGTTTGGGTGACCCCTCAGGTCAGGGTGACCCTCAGCTCAGGGTGATCCCTCGGGTCAGGGTGACCCTCAGCTCAGGGTGACCCCTTAGGTCAGGGTGACCCATGATGGTTTGGGTAACCCCTCAGCTCAGGATGACCCCTTGGGTCAGGGTGACCCTCAGCTCAGGGTGACCCTCAGCTTAGGGTGACCCTCAGCTCAGAGTGACCCCTCGGTCAGGGTGACCCCTCGGGTCAGGGTGACCCTCAGCTCAGGGTGACCCCTCGGTCAGGGTGACCCTCAGGACGTGTCCCCAGCAGCCTCGGGGCGCTGTCCCCCCCAGCCCTGCCCAAGCTCGGCTCCATCCCAGCGCCGTTCCCGGCAGCTCCCGGCGGAGCCAGGGCCGGGTGCTGCCAGCAGAAACCTGAGATGCACAGTCTGAAAATCCCATTTATTTAATTATTTACCTCTTCCCCCCACTGCCTCTTGCCACGGGCTGGTCTTTGCTTTCCAAGCGCTGTAAATGAAAGTCTAGAAACAAATATCCCCTGGTCTGTGTGCTGCCTCACCTCTGCCAGGTCACAAACTGCCTCTGCCCTTACCTCTGGGGTAAGGAAGCCTTTGCAATTGGACTTGATGGCCTTGGAGGCCTTTTCCAGCATAAATTATTCTGTGATTTTGTGGAACGTGCCTCTGCCCTTACCTCTGGGGTAAGGAAGCCTTTGCAATTGGACTTGATGGCCTTGGAGGCCTTTTCCAACCTAAATTATTCTGTGATTTTGTGGAACCGGAGATAAAGGCACGGTCAGCTCAGATATTAAATTTGGTGTTCACACACTGCCTGAGTGTGCTCGTGTCAAACACAACCAGGCAGAGCAGGGCCCCGGACCTGCCTGACTTGGGGCATTTAAAAGTTCATGTGCTGGGGGAACACGAGGTCTTCGGGCCTGTTTTGGAATGGAAATTTGGGAAAGGCATGGAACAGCATGGTTTGCTGAAGACAGAATTCATTCGCTGGTAAGAAAATATAATTTTAATGGAATAATTTTAATGGGTAGCTGAACCATTTGCATGAAGGGCAAAGATAAATGAAGAGGAAGAAAATTAAGAGAAAGGTAAATAAATCTTAAAATAAATCAGGTGGAATCAGTGAAGTACCCATACATACCCACAGCCATCCCACAGGATGAGGAGGGAACAGGGGGAAACTGCTCTGGTGTGAAGCTGGGGCAGCTGCAGGCAGCCAGACGAGACAAGGGCATGGAAATGCAGCCCAACACAAAACTGAAAAACCCCCGTGGCAGGGAGGGCACGGCTAACAGAGGGGTTCCACGTTCGAGTGGGGCTGGACATGTTCAGCTGTTTGGGAAGGAACAGTCCCTCCACATCCTGCAAGGAAACTGAGACACAGCCACTGCCACAGGGGAAAAGGCACTTTCTGAGGGGCTGGGAGCAGGTTCATCTCTGGCTGAATTCTGGGAATGGGAGAGGGCTTGGAGTGGGTGGGAATGGGGCAGCAAGTCAGCCTGCTGCCTCTGGGACTGCACAGGTGACCCTTGTGGTGTCACCTGCGGACACACTGACCCCAAACAGCACAGAGCATGGAATGGCTTGGGTTGGACAGACCTTAAAGCTCACCCAGTGCCACCCTGCCATGGCAGGGACACCTTCCCCTGTGCCAGGCTGCTCCAGCCCCAGTGTCCAGCCTGGCCTTGGGCACTGCCAGGGATCCAGGGGCAGCCACAGCTGCTCTGGGCACCCTGCCCACCCTCCCAGGGAGCAATTCTTCTAATACCTGATCTCTGTGTACCTTCCTTCAGCCTAAAGCCATTCCCCCTTTTTCTGCCACCACATCTCCACATGCCTCCTCTGGCTTTGAAGGCTAAGCATCACTCATTTATTCACTGATTTTGATTCTCATTTGGTCTGCCTGCTTCCTCTCAAGGTTTTAAATTGCATATATTTCGCAAGCCTTTTATTACCTATTTTTAAAGACATACCACTGCCGGAAGAATCTCCTGGAAGCATGAATTAACAACACAAAAGGCAGAAGGAGTGTTTCATAATGCTCCTGGGGCGGCTCCAACACGAGTTGCTCGGTGCGGTGGTGCAGCGCCAGAAACGCTGGGGCCACACTTTTGCTGCCACTAAAAATAGTTGCAACTTCAAACCCAAATATATTTTTGTTCATTAAAAATTATGGACAAATAAGAGGATTTTTTACTCTTTAATTAAAGCAGCTACATAACCTGAGTGTAAATAAAAGGTAGCAGTGTCCCTGCAGATGTTGCAGTCAGGTTTCAGTAGTGTTTACAAAAAAAATTGAACTGAACAATATTAAAATCACAGCACACCGGAAAAATAAGCATTTTCACATCTGCCCTTGGAACACACAGTAATTCACAGCCACATGCCAAGCAACAAGTCCTGTGCCTTCAGAGTATTTGAAATTGCTGTGCCCGTGCAGTCGGGCTCCAGACACCCCCAGGAGTGCCCCATGTCCTTCCTCACCCAGAAGAGGAGGAGAGCAAGGCCAGGGAAGGTTCCTGTGCCCCTCCTGGGGCTCACAGAGCCCGGTGCCAGGGTTTGGCTGTGGGGCCTCACTGTGGAGCCCAAGCCCAGCGTGTCCCTGGGGAGCAGAGCAGAGGATGCTCTGCAGCCCTGGCACAGCCACCAGAGCAGCCCTGCAGCCCCCAGCCCCTGGGAAGGGCTCACCAGCACAGCCAGGACACCCTGCTGCCACAGCAGGGCCAGGTGCTGCTCCCACCCTGCTCAGGAGCTCATCTGTTCCGTGTTATATGAACTGGAAAATAAAACGTCCGTGTATGCAAATGTACAAACTGACAGCAGCTCACGTGTGGGTTTCATGCTGACTTCAAGTTGTGTTAAAGACATGTAAGAGTTACTGGGCATAAACAGGAAAAAGCATTAACCCACGAGCTGCAGGAAGCAAATACAGCCCATGAATGAGAATTGGCGTCGACATGGATCTGGCCAACGTTAAGCTCTAAATAACTGTTTACCTCAAACTTTGTGGTGTCTTCAGAGAATGATTTGTAGTTAGAAGATTCCCAAACATACCCAGGGGGAAAACAGGTTACAAGCACGACCACAAAATCAGAACAGGTTTAATCTCATTTGCTAGTCAAAGATTGCACAGCATGAGGGAAGGTGGAACTTCTACGTGGTGACAGTAGAGAGATAATGAGCTGGATCTTGTCCCTAGCAATCACAGCCTATAGTTGTCACTGATTATTAATTACCAGCCCAAAGGCTGGAGCTGCAGTTGCATTCTCCTCACATATTGGATGGATTAGAAACTCCAGGCGAGTGGTCTTCAACTACACCCACCCCTGAGGCTGATGGATAATCACAGGGATCACCTGGGCCCCTGTGGGTGCCGGTGGGCCGATTGCCTCCCATAAATACATCACAGAAAGGATCGGTTCAGGGCAGGTTCTGGCAGCTCCTGCCTCTGCTGGGTGCCCAGTCCCTGGCCGAGCAGTGTTCTCTCAGGTGGGACAGCCAGCTCATCGCTCTGGTGTGCTCCAGGTGAGGAGCTGTGGGGGCACAGGAGCCTGCTGGGGCTTTGCAAAGGCTCCAAGTGCCCAGCGCCAGACACAGCACGGCTGGCAAACCCAGCAGGGCTCAGCCGCAGCCCCAGCGGGACGCGGTGCTGCCTGCGGCAGCTGGGAGGGTCACCTTCCCCGGCACGGAGTGTCACCGGGCCTGGAGGGAGGTGTCACCGGTCCTGGAGCGAGGTGTCACCTCCGCCGGCACGGAGCGTCTCCGGGCCTGGAGGGAGGTGTCACCTCCGCGAGCACGGAGTGTCACCGGGCCTGGAGCGAGGTGTCACCTGGCCTGGAGGGAGGTGTCACCTCCGCCGGCATGGAGTGTCACCGGGCCTGGAGGGAGGTGTCCCCGGGCCTGGAGGGAGGTGTCACCTCTGCCGGCACGGAGTGTCCCCGGGCCTGGAGCGAGGTGTCACCTTCGCCGGCACGGAGTGTCACTGGTCCTAGAGCGAGGTGTCACCTCCCCCGGCACGGAGTGTCCCCGGGCCTGGAGGGAGGTGTCACCGGGCCTGGAGGGAGGTGTCACCTCCGCGGGCACGGAGTGTCCCCGGCTGTCCCTCCGCCGGCTCGGAGCCGCGGGTGCGGGCAGCCGCGGTTCGTGTCCCGCTCCGCGGGCGGCGGTGGCTCGGCTGCCCGGCAGGGACAGGGACAGGGACACTGGTGCCGAGCGCCCGTGCCTGCGGCTCTCCGCGGGAGCCCTGCCCGCAGCCGTGCGGGGCTCGGGGCCACCGTAGGTCCCGGCGGGGCACGGCTGTCCCGCTGTCCCCTCCGTGCCCACACGGACACTGCGCGCTGCCGGGGCTGCCCGGCACCTCCGGCCAGACGGGAATTCGTGGAACACAGCATTTCCTAACTGAACGAGAGAAACTGACCACGAAGTGTTCGGGAAAGAACAGGGTTTTCAACACAGGGCAGCGGATTCAAAGAATATCCTATTTTTATGCTCCCTCTCCGTGTAATTAATCTGCCGTTCCAAACAAGACGTGCCTCAGCTGAATGAAGCCTCAAATAATCACATAATAGGAGAAGTCATTTATTGTGAATCAGGCTCTTTCTGTGGTATATAAATAGTCTGCGCTGTTCCACAGGCTTTGTCAGTCAGGATTAATTAGCAATTGACCCTTGCTTGAGATTCCTTCACTACCTCTACATTTTTCATAGGGCTAAATGAGCTCTCCACATTGCTTTAAGAGGCTTCCTAAGCTGGAGTTTCATTTACCTCTAGGCTATAAATCAGTAGTTTAATTTATCACTAGGTTACATATCAGCAGTGAATAGTCAGGGTGGAATTGAGTTTATTATAAAGGTGTTCTGTTAGAAGACACAGTATTACAGTGATTGAAACATGCTCTTCAATTTTCCATTAATGCCCAATTCTGAATATGACCACAGAGAACCACGCTTTACAAACTTTACATTTAGCATTCTAATAAATAAGTTCAATAAATAGGGACTCTGCAGAGGAAGCCGTACATATGAACAGAAGCTGCTTAACAATGTTGTCAAAAAATAACTAGAGCTACTCTCATTTGTAACCAATCACTGGAATTGGTAAGTAAAATATGAATATTTTACTCTTATGATGCAGACCAGAGGAACAAAGATCTGTTAAAAATCACCCTTAGGATTACATCAAACTTAATTTTGTACACTAAATTCATTATTCAGAGCATGCTTTTATACCGCTTTTAGCACAAAATATTTTCAAATACATTTATTAAAAATATGAGAAACGAGTGACACTGCCCATGTAGAATTTCATCCGTGCCTGAGCACCAGCTCTTGTGTTACACAATGTTGCAGTTTGGCTAATTTTGGATGAACTATCCCACACTTGGAGAAGATCTATAGTAAAGGGCCAGATTTAGTCTGTCGTATATTGCAACATCTTGTTAATACATTAATTCATCCGTCATAGTACAAAAAAATTAATTCCCCCCAATTACTGTTATATGTATAATACATATATAAAATCCATGTATACCAACCATTTTAACAGCCACCGTTCTTGGCACACGTGTTGTGTGCAAAGCCTGCGGGAGCAGAACCTTCCTGGCAGCCAAGGCAGGTCCGTGGAGCGCGTGTTCCCTGCCGGCCTCGAGGCCCAGCTGCTCCCAGCGCGCCCACCCCGGTTCCGCGGTGCCAGCTGTGGTGCCACCCCGGTTCCGCGGTGCCAGCTGTGGTGCCAGCACTGTGCCAGCTCGGTGCCAGCTCGGTGCCAGCGCGGTGCCAGCACTGTGCCAGCTGCGGTGCCAGCGCGGTGCCAGCGCGGTGCCAGCACTGTGCCAGCGTCCCCGGCCCGCGCAGCTCAGCCAGGCCGCTCCGGCCCGTCCCTGCGGCTGGCAGCGTGCCCCTGCCCCGGGCAGCGGAGCCGTGGCCCCGCACAGCCCCGTGCCCGGGGACAGCTCCCGTGCCCCGGGGAGCCCCGGCTGCCAGCGGGGCCAGCTCTGCCGCGAACAACCATCGCATTCCCAAAGCACAACCATGCACACACCAGTAAAGCCTACCTTGAGTAAAACACCGGCACTGAAAGAGGACTGAACCATAAATGCCACCAAACTATCAAGTAATCATCAGCACTAGAAGTAGATGAAAAAAAAAATACTAAAACGGAAAATGGTAACTGCATCATGGCTTTGATTTAAATCCTTGCGTACGACAGTGAGTGAGCAGAAAGCCTGGTCTGTGACTGAGCCTCAGAAGACAAGATACTGCTCTTATTTTTATTTCCTATTTTTAAGACAGGCTGACTGAGAACATTTTCAAACGTGGGAGACTAAGTCATTAAACCAGATGCACTTGGATTGCTCTCCTCCTTTAGGGGATTTACTTCATTTTACTTTATCTGACAGAAGTCAGAAATAAATGAAACTACTGGAGGAAAGCTGAATTTTGACGCGTTATTTTCCATTAGAATTCTTCCACTGACTTTGTTAAGCTTTTCCTAAGACCAGAAAATGAGGCTTTATCTAAAAAAGAATTTGAGACTGGTAGATTTTCCCCACACACTTGTAAGCCCTACAGTCTCCCACTGCCTCAAAGCGGAGGATTTTTTCGAACCGTTCCCAAATCTTCTGCATTTGTTCACAAACTGGTATCTCCGTTCTGTTTATACTCTGATAAAATATTGAGAGTCATGTCCTCGCTTTTGGACTGCACATTGTGTTCGCTCCTTCTGGATGATTTCCGGGTGGCCCTGGAAAGCTTCCTTCGGAAGGTGTCACCTGCCAGGAAGTAAAGGATGGGGTCGACGCAGCTGTTGAGGCTGGCCAGGCCCCTCGTCACTTGGTAAGTGGCATAAACCTTATCGTTGAAGGCACACATATCTGGGGTTTGAAAATCCACCCTGGCCCTTAGATTTAAGGTCTTCATCACGTGGAAGGGAAGGTAAGACACTGCAAAGACCGTCAACACAATAATGACCAGGTAAATGGATTTTCTCCTGAGAGGAGAATTGTCCAAATCCTTGTAAATCAAAGCTTTCACGATGAGCCCATAGCAACCAAGAATCACTATGAAGGGGATGCAGAACATCAGCACGGTGGTGCACATGCTATAAATGAAGTAACTTCTCAGGTAATCGTCGGCCGTTGTGTCGTAGCACGTCGTGGTTTTATTTTTCCTTATCCCTGTTCCCGAGTAGAAGAGTATCGGAGAAATCGCGGCCACCACGAGGACCCAGACCAGGCTGCTGATGTACACGGCGTTCTTCTTCTTCAGCCTCCCCAGCGACTTCAGGGGGTGCACCACCCCCGTGTACCTGTGCACGCTGATGCAGGTCAGGAACAGGATGCTGCCGTACAGGTTCACGTGGAAGATGAACCTCTGCAGCTTGCACATGATGTCTCCGAAGATCCAGTCTGTTTTGTTGAAGTAGTAAAAGATGAGGGCGGGCAGAGTCAAGACATACAGGAAATCGGCTAGTGCCAAGTTGAACATGTAAACCGAGATGCCGCTCCAAGGCCTCATGTGGAAGACAAACATCCAGATAGCCACACTGTTGCCCAAAAACCCGGTGATGAAGACCAGAATGTAGACGGTGGGCAGGTAATAGAACTGGAAGCCGGTTTTGGTCAGGGAGCACTTGGTGGTGACGTTTCCCGCAGACCAGCCGCTGCTGGATAACAGGTTGGGCTCAGTTCCGTTCAGAGCAGCAGAGAGAAGGACTTCGGTCATGGTCCTTCCCCCAGAGTCACATAGGGCTGAGGCGAAGCAACGAAGTCTCTACAGGCACAGAAACGCATCTAAAAACACAAGAGAGCAAAGCAAGCCTAGCTGGAAGGTGAGCCCTGCCCTGCTTTTCCTCGGAGGTTTCCAAGCGGCGGCACCGGGCCCCGCTCCGCTCCCCGCCCCGCTCCCGGGGAGCCGCGCACGCCGCCGCCACCGCGTGCTGGCCCGGCCGGAGCGGGGACGGCGACAGCGGCAGGGACGGGGCGGCAGGGCCGGGGCCGAGCGGGGGCAGGGAG